GATCAACACCTTGATCAACCTCGTCCCAAAGTCATGAATTTATCTTTTCCTAACCCTGTTACTTGTGCATCTTATGTCAACATTCTTCCTTTCCTTCACATAATTTCTATGAACATTTTGCGGTACGGAACTCTGTGAGTGTTTTCTCTTGCAGTCGTTACCCTCTGTCAGCCATAACATGCTGAGAAGAAGATTGGACTGATCTACTAAACTAAATGCTGAACTCATAATTTGCTGATTTGCACCTGAACATGTCGATAGCAGAATATCCTAATTTGTTTAGTTCACTGATAGCGAGCTGCCATCAGTGGATCAATAACCTTTAGAAAACTGTTGGATTTTCCATCTTTATGTTTTTCCTCTGGTCGCTGTGATGCAGAAACTCACGTAGAGACCTGAGAAAATTTGCTTTTTCACTCGTAAAGAAATAAAATAGACCACAAACAAGACCTAATAACCAGGAATTAAATGTTTTCCTAAAATTGTGCACATCCACAGAAATATTGAACTTAAATTTTAAGATTTATGTAAATTTATTACATAATAAATTCCATTTTATTTATTTAGGTAATTGTAACAAAAACCTATTAAATAAACAATACATCATCCATATTTATTTGACAATAAGGCTTATTTATTTTAAATGCATAATCCTCGGGTTTATGTATTTAGTATTTTTTAAAGTATAATGACTAACATTAACACTAATGAGTTTACTGTTAAAATTGCATATAGGGATTCTGATGATTATGCACTTCATACAATAACTTTTATGTATTTGAAATACACATTAATTAGAATACAGTTTGAGTAATAACACTATTTTAAATAAATAAGTCTAACAATTAGGTATTTAAAGTGAATGAGTAAAATCCAATTAATGAAAATGCACCGTTTAAGGTTTATTTTTATAGGTTTGTTTTACAATAAATAAATACATGGAAAGTGGTTATGTAATAAAATTACATAAATCTTAAAATTCTGGTGAAATATTTTTGTGGATGCAGCCATGATTAAACTGATTTTAATTGATAAATCCCAGAGAAGAGTTTACAGCATTAATTAACAGGTTTTTGTATCTCAAATATCTCTTTGTGTTGTGTGGTAACCAGGCAACGGTCATTTGTTGACAAATTAACTGTTGTGTTTTTTTTGTGCAACGACAATAGGATGAAGTTCAAGTGCAGCCTCAGCTTCAAACCATGGAGGGATTTTAAAGTCAAGCCGATGATCCAGTCAGCTCCCGCTGCAGGATAAAATCAAATAATCTGCAGCCCAGCAGCCAGAAGCAGCTGCTGCTCAGGGAACGCATCCAAGAGAGGAGGAAAACTCTCATCCTGCCAACTCATCATAGGCTGTCAGTAATTCCTGAGCTGCTTCCCGGAGCTGGAAGCTTTCTGGCCTTGGTGCTAAAAGTTGTGTAAGACTGTCAGACAGCAGTGAAAGAAGTCTGACACAGAGAGGCTTTATGAGGGATGACAAATATCTGACTGGACAGGCTGACACTTCTGCAAAAGTTAAATATCTAACAACTAATTTGAACGAGTTGAAATTTATGTCTGAAATATTCAATCCCAAGACTTTTATGAAAACACTTACCTCGACATATTTCTAATCTTTATGAATGAAATATTTTTTAAATGGATCTAAGTTTTAAAGTAAAATGTTCCAACAGTTCCATATCCAACATGTTTCCTGACTGCTGCATAACGAACGTCTCTAACAGTTATATATCAGAAACGTCTATCCTTGTTTCACTGAGTCTCAGCACAATGTTTGATGCAGGTAGCTATAGCATTCTGATTTTCAGGTTTAGAACTAAAGCTGCTTAAAATAGATTTGGGGTTCCTCAGGGGTCTGTTCTCCTTTCTATTTCTAGATCCTTTCCATTAAACATCTGCATACTTGTGTGCACAATTACATACAGTATCAACATATCAAAATGGCCCTTCCCAGTCTAACGCCAGCCGAATGGCAGCCAACTTCCCTGCAACTCCCAGCAAAATCCCTTCCAACTTCCAGCCACTGGATTACGACGGAGTATTAGGGCCAGGATAGAGATTTTTTGTTCTTCCATTTCAAGAATAAAGTCCTAACATTACGAGAACAAAGTCGTAATATTACGAAAACAAAGTGGTAAAATACGACAATAAAGTCGTAAAATTCCGAGAATAAAGTCGTAATACTACAAGAATAAAGTTCTAACATTACAAGGATAAAGCTGTTACATTACGAGAACAAAGTCTTAAAATTACGAGAACAAAGTTGTAACATTACGAGAACAAAGTCTTAAAATTACGAGAACAAAGTTGTAACATTACGAGAACAAAGTCTTAAAATTACGAGAATAAAGTCGTAAAATTACGAGAATAAAGTCTTAAAATTACGAGAACAAAGTTGTAACATTACGAGAACAA